AAACAAGCACCCGAAATTCTAAATTTTCAAAACTTGCAAACAACATAGATGAATTCAAGGGATTACCATAACGCACCTGAAAATTTCTGACATTTCAAACATTAAAACAACAAACATGAAATCAAGAAATTAATACCAGCCTCCCAAGAATTTAAAATTTTCAATTAACACCCTCAATATCCCAAAAGTTAAAGAAACACTCTCAAAACTTTAAATTATAAAAAACAACCCTAAAATTTTTAAAATTTACAAATAATAAAAGATGAATTAAAGAGATTACACTCATGCACCTAAAAATTTAAAATTTATCGAAATTAACCTTAAAGTTACAAAAGTTGTAGAAAATACTCTTTTAAACTTTGAAAATCATAAAAAAACTCTAAATTTTTAAAATTTATAACCAGTACACATCAAATCTAAAAACTATTAGTAGACCGTTAAAATTTAAATTTTTTAAAAATTAATCTACAGTTTTAACAATTGTAAAAAGTAGCCTTAAAATTTCAGTGTTGTAAGAAATATCGTGACATTTAAAAATTAACACCGACACATAAAACACACAAGTTACAACTACCAAACCTAAAAGTAGTTTTTTAAAAATGCTCCTAAAGTTTTAAAAATTATAAATCACACCCTCAAAGTTTAAAACCATAGAAAAAAGCTAAAATTTTAAAATTTGGCAAAGAAAAGTGTAGTTGTTAGGTATTCTTTTATTAATATATATATATATATATATATATATATATATATATATATAAGTGAATATCTAAGGTGACACCTAGATTCGCCACCTAAGGACGCGCTAAATCACATTCATTCCCTTAATTTTTCGTTTTTTCGATCCGTCATCGCGTAAATTGAATCATAACCGTTTTTAAACCCAAACACAAGCAATTTTTTATAGGGTGAACGCCGTCGTGTTTTGACCCTTCATCACCTCGCCGCAATTTTAAGCGGTTTTGAAATGAATAGAACTTTTTACACGGCTCAACGAAGAGTACGAAAACACGGAGTTCACCGCCAAAGAATGGTGTGTTAGATTTAAAACGTGTAGATCAAGTTTAACGGGAGCGGATCGGAAAAAAAAGGGAATGATGTGATTTTAGGTCGCGTCCTTTAGGTGGAATGCTAAGGTGTCACCTAGAATCACTTTTCCCATATATATATTATATATATATATATATAGATTATATATATATAATATATATATACGGCAAAAACTGTGTCAACTTGAAGTGAATAGCAAAAAGTTGTCCACCGCAACTTTTAGGCCACTCATATTGGCCTCCAGGGATACCTTGGCATGAATGAAATGTTTTTTATATTACTAATGAGTGAGCTAGGAAGTTTGGTGGACATCAACTTAAGTTGATACAAGTCTTACTATATATATATATATATATATATATATATATATAATATATATTATATATATATATATATATATATATATTATATATATAATATTATATTATATATATAATAATATAGTATAGGGAAAAGTGAATCTAAGGTGACACTCCTAGGCTTCACTAAGGCGCGGGCTCAAAATCACATCCTTTCTCTTTTTTTTTTTGGCGATGCGCAGCTCGTTGAACTTGATCTACACGTTTCTTAAACCCAAACACACAATTTTGGGGTGACACTTGTCGTGTTTTTGACCTTTTATCCATTCGCTGTATTTTAACGGTTTCCGAATGAATAGACTTTTTGCATGGCTCAACGAAATGTCAAACACAACGGTTCACACAAAATTGGTGTGTTTGGTTTAAGTAAGACGTGTAGATCAGTTCAAGGAGCGGATCGTAAAAAAATTTTTTAGGAAATGATGTGATTCTATGGCCGCGTCCTTAGGTGGAAGCCTAGGGGTGTCACATTAGATTCACTTTCCAGCATATATATAAATGTATATATATATATATATATATATATATATATATATATATATATATATATAATATTATTTATTTATAAGTATATTATTATATATATATAGGGAGAAGTGTTCCTAAGGTGACGCCTTAGATAATTATCTAAGGACGCGGCCTAAAATCATATGATTGAGCTATATTGTGGATGATCCGCTCCGTTGAACTTGATCTACATATTCTAAAATCCCAACACGCCAAGTTTGGAGTAAACCCGTCGTCGTTTGACCCTTCATCCACTTGTATAAATTTTAACGGTTTCGAATGAATAGAACTTTTTATATGGTTCGACGGAGGGTAAAACGACGATGAGTTCACCCTAAACTTGGTGTGTTGGAGTTTTAAAATATGTAGATCAAGTTCAACGGAGCGGATCATCCATAATGTAGTTCAATCATGTGATTTTAGGCCGCATCCTTAGATGATTATCTAAGGCGTCACCTTAGGAACAAGTGAATAAAAATTTAAAAAATATTATAGCTTAAAATTATCATTACCATATAAATTAAAGCAACTGCATAAAATTTTACTAATAAGTTGGAGCAGCAAAGCACATTAGTAACATTAATTGATAGAAGTTTATATCCATAAAAATGATAAAAGACTATAATATAATAGCTTAGCATTAATTGATTATAATTTAGAAATATTAATCTCTGATGTTAATAATATTTATAGAGTAAACGAATATAATGAATTACGTATGAAGATACTATCAGAATATTCAAAAATATCATTCAAAAGAATCAAGCTATTTCCATTGCAAATGGAAAAGTGACGAAAATAAATCTAAAATTTAGAAAACGTCCATGAATCATTTGAATTGGCATTAACATAAGGCATGTCTATTAAAGAAGTAACAATTGAGTTAGATTAAAGAATAATTTAATAACTTTATCCTAATCAAAAGAGAATTCTCTATAGAAGATATAAGAAAATATAGTAAGCATTCATAAATTTCATACTTTGCTCTTCAAATACTAAAGAAATTAAATATTAATATTATAATTTAAGGCAAATTAGCAATAAAAATACAGGTATTTAGTTTAGATCTTTATAATAAATGACATGAATAGAGAAAATATAATATTATTGACGTAACAGAAACTCTTATTAGATGCACATAAGAAGAATTCATTGTAGAGAAAAAGAGGTAACTCCTAATCTTATTTAAGTAATAAATTAGAAACACAAATAATTTCATATATATGAGATTAATATTTATTCTCATTGAAATAATAAAAAAATCAAAGTTTGTATTTTAAGAAGTTTGTGTTGAACATCGAAAATACATTTAACTTCTTTGTGAAGTTAAATGACAAGATAAAATATTAACGAGCCCAAGAAAGATAACAGCACAAAAAATACAACTCTAGCATAATGTAACAATCGAGTAGATGATGAAGACACTACTCTAGAATTGTCCGTGAAAAAGATAAAGGTGAGAAAGGATTGATTTTAGCTCAATAAAAAAATAAAATAGAAAGAAAAAAAATAATATTTTCTGAATAATTTATAGAATAGTTTAATTATTTTGAGTGAATTTAGGAATCTTTAGAAGGGAGTTTTATGAGCTTATTTTAGTATTTTTATATGCTTATGTAGATGCTTTTATCATATGAAAGTATACTAGAGTTAGCATTAATCTTTAATTTATAATTTCTTATGAAGTCTATCAATGATTAGAAACAGACTTTATATTCTCTTTTGTATCGTTTTAGTATACTTTTAACCAATCATTTTGACTTATTAGTTTTAAATATTAATCTTTCTTATATAATATTATTTTAATATTTTTACTTTTGCAACATTATACTTTCACAAGTAATGCTTGGTATCATGTCAGTATAAATAATATAAAAATTTAAATTAACTTCAAATTATATTTATTTTATATCATTTCAAATATCAACATGAAAATTTAAATTGGGTGTAGCCTATTTAAACAAACATCAAAGAAAATAAATAATCACAATATTAAAGTTTAGAGACAAAAGTGAGCATAAGCTATTAAAGTGGAACTGAGGAACAAGTTTTAGTTAGAAAATAATCTAAAAATACTTAATCATGGTGTTTAACCACGTGCATTGCACGTGTATAAAACCTAGTATATCTAAATACTAGTGTAAGGGTCTGTTCGTTTGCCTAAAAAAAGAGGGAAATCAAAGAAAATGAAACCTATTTCTAAGAAAAATAGGTTTTTGAATTGTTTGGTTGGCTAAAAAAAAGAAGAAAATCAAAGAAATGGAGATGAGATGAGATGAGTTGTCACATTATTATTGGATGATGTGAGTGATTTTTTAAGAAAACTAGTTTTGATGTTGTTCGGTTGGCGAAAAAAATAAGGAAATGAATTATAAGAAACCTATTTCCTGTAGTTTTGTTGTTTTCTTTTGTTTGGTTCATTCTTAAAAATAAGAAATGAAATGAGATGAGATGAGTTGTCATTGTATTATTGGGTGATGTGAAGAAAGATTAAGAAAAGTGTTTTCACAACTTTTTGGGATGAAAACAAAGAAATGAAATGTTAATGAGATGGGGTGAATTGTTATAATATTTTATTCGATGATGTGAGTTATTTGAAATGATGAAAAGAGATGAGTTGAGTGATGTTTGGATGAAAATAATATTTTATTAGATGTGATGGATGAGTCGTTAGATGAAAATAATATTTTATTAGATGTGGTGGATGAGTTGTTAGATGAAAATAATATTTTATTAGATGATGTGGATGAGTTGTTGGATAAAAATAATATTTTATTAGATGTTATAGGTGAGTTTTAGGGATGAAAATGGAAGAAATGGATTATTTTGAGATTTCCACCTTTTCCATTTCCATTTCTTGATTTTTAGGAAATAAACGAACATGCCCTAAAAAGAAAAGGAAGAAAGAAAAGAAATCAACCCCCCCTCGTTGAGTCGACACCTGGCTCCTCCTCGTTATCTCACCTCTCGTCTTTCCAGTAACGCTTCTCCTCGTTCACTCTCCCCGACCCTAATAAACAATTAGCACGAATCCAAGCCCTCAAATTTCCCCCCAAAATCCGGGATATTCC